ATTTGGAGTGCTAGGTCCTAGATGGTTTATACCATGGGTCAAGTCCTGGTCTTCAGCTCCCTTCTACTATTTTGTTCTTCTCCACTAAATAATGCCTCCTCTGCTACTTTTTGAATCACAGGAGCTTTGGATATTAACAATGATCCTGTTAATATTTTATTTCATATTTCAGTTTCATATTGGAGATATTCTGGGGAAAGAGCCACAAAGAGAGAAGTGAGAGCTGGAATGTTCTCTCTTTCTGCTGAAGCTTGTTTCAATCGCCACAGTGAGCCAGCACCTAACATTTTGAATATGATGGCTTAGAGCCCATAAATCAAAGGGCTGAAGAGCAGAAGAGAGCAAAAGACTTTCTTATGCTTCCCCCTGCCCTCTAGTATATACATACATTTTTTTTTTACACTGAGCTACCTTGTGTAAACACAGCCACTGGCATGTGCAACTCCTGCTGGACTTTGCTTCCTTGGTTCTTGAAGTTTTGGAAGGGGTTTATTTTGAGTCCTTGCCCTTCTTCTGTCCTTCATCGTAATACTGTAATTAGACCCACAACTTAGACTTATTGGCCAAAGGGAAGATTAACATAAAGTGTTGATGAGAGACATGTTTCCCTTGGGACACAGAAGTGTTCTGAGAGAGCTTCTTTTTCTTCATTCCACTATTTCCATTTATTTCCATTAGTTTTACAAAAAAAAAAAAAAAAAATCCTACCTTCTCAATGCCAGTAGATTTGGCCATAAACTAGGAACAAATGTATGGAAACAAATTAATTGGAAAAAAAGGGGTTGATATATTTTTGCTGTTTAACGTTATTCTAATATTAAAAAAATAGTAACAAATTTTTATATGGCCTGTGGAATTGTGGAATTTACTGACTAGATAGTGGTTTTAAATTTATCTAGATTTTTAAAAAATTCAGATTTCTGTATGGAAAACCAGTATCTAGAGCTAGCAAGAAAGCAGCAAATGTCAAGCTTCATTCTCTATTTGCTAAAGATACATATGAATTTTAAAATACTAGAAAATAATTGCATTTCTTCTTCTTATGAATTTTCTTACAATTTTTCTTTTCTAATTTGGATTCTACTGAAGACATTTTTTGGAATAAATGCAACATGGGTGATTCTGGGCAGAAGTTTCTTTGGTTTAAGTATAACATTCTTTAGAAAGATATCCAATCCAAACGGGGAATGAATATCTGAGCTTTTTCTGATCTTTATTTGTAGAAGGCAAATGCCAAGCTTCACAGAAGTCAGACTGCATTTTAAAATTAATCCTGTTCCAAGGCAATGAATTTTTATTTGAATATATTCAATGAAACCCCATTTATGTAGATGTTTTCAACCTGGAAATTCTACCAAAATTAATCCTGTTGAAGTTCCAGTAAAATGTAAATCCTAACTCATTTGTGAGGTAGAAAGGAGTTTAAGTTTCAGTACAATAGTTTGTACATCACAAACTTGTCTTTTTTTTTAATTTATTTTCATGACTGAATTTAGCTCCATCTTGCTGCACTGATCCTATTTTCCAATGGTAAAAACTTACTTGGTGACAAATTTTTTCTGGAGGCTGGAATCCTTCTCAGGATATGCCTGAAGCACATGTTCTATATTAAGCCAAATAAAATTAAATGTATCCTTAAAATTAAGCTTGTGCTTATTCTTTGCTTAATAAAAATTAATTAAGCATGTGTTAATTATTTACTGGCATTGAAGTCTGCTTGCTGAGCGAGAAGATAGACTTTTTGGATTCATTTTTAACAGTCCTCTTCATAAAAACACAGATGGAGCATTCAAATGTCCTGATTGCTCACATGTTCTCATGATCTGTAGCCAGGATCTGGTATGGGTTTTTTTCAGTTCAGTCAGAACAGGACTTCATCTGGAAAGCAGCAGATGGAAGGAAGGGAGGGGATCCAAGTTTTTAATCCTTTTTTCCTTTTTTTCTTTTCTGAACAGATGTTGTTGAGATGATCGAGCTACAGAGCCACAAATCCAACCAAAAACTGGGTAAAGAAATATATACAAACATATGTTGATACTTGGTACGTGGTTAATCAGGCAGGCTACAGTCATCTACTGCTGACATGAATATCTCCCTCGCATATAATGGAGATGACAAGATTTTTAGGGCTACTGTAGAAGGATTTAATTTTGTGTGCTGTTTTGATTTTTCATTCAGTCAAGAGAAAAGCTAACAACAGTCAAAATTACTTTAGTAACAGTTAAATGGATAAGCACAGGACCAGGAAGTTAGTGAACAACAAGCTGAAAAGTATGTGGAAGAAATTTTACCAGAATTACAGGAAGGTTATGGCATATGGCTCAGGTTCACAGACTTCAGTCTGGGGCTATAATTTCACTGACAACTGTCAGGTGGGATACTAAAAAAATAGAAAAATAATTGTATACAATAGGAATTGCTGATGAGTTAAGGAGCAGTATTTTTATGATTAGCAATTTTCATAAAGATAAGGCTATTAAATTAGAACTATGCTGATCTAACCATGGGGGTCATGATGAAGTAATTCTGATTTTGTCAGTGATATATTTATTGCATCTAGATCTTTAAAACCAAAATTCATTACTCTGATGACAATTCTTTCAAAGTAAAGTATAAATGAGATGCCTCACTTTCTTTTTTTGCAAAACTCACCAGTTAAATTAAATATATGCAAAACTTTGAAAAAGTTACTAATTACAGCTTATTAAAGCTTCTTCTATGTAGTAACTTCCTTGCTGAAATTCAGTAATTATGAATGAAGGGGATCCCAACAGGCACCTGTTTTACACTTGAAAGCTCAAAATTATTGCTCTACAGTAAAACATTGTGCTATGTAACATAAGTCAAAGGAGGAATTGCACAGCAATAGTTCTGTTATCTTGTCTGGGAAGATCAGAAATGGAGTTCAGCTTGGATGGGACAGGTTGTTGTCACTATACAAATAGTTATGACTGCAATACCCATGGCCAAAAGAAACAACATAATATGGAGAATACTTACACTAAATCAATATTTACTCTTTTTTGAAAAAATGTCTCCAGATCCTTAGAATGGAAAGAATTTAACTGCAAAGCATTATACTGTATGTACAAAAAGATTCTGGTATAATCTAGGTCATATCTGACTGATCCTATAGAATAAAATGTCCTTAATTTCTTGAGGTATAAACAGACAACTATAAAAGAAAATAATAATAGTCTACATAAAAGATGTAAAATTTTGAGGTTTTTATAAATACAGAAGGAAGAAAATCTAAGGAAATTCACTATGAATATTGAAGAGTCCATAACTGATTATTTTCTTTTCCTGACAAAATACCCTTAAATCTAAACCAGTTAAACACCAGGAATGCCTAGAAAATATTTTTGTGAGGAAGATCATATATAAACATACAATACTAAAAAAACTGAATGTCAGAGCAGCCTTCTCACAATACATGGAAATTTTCTGATTTGACATATTTCAGCCCTCTTGTATTTATGGAGTTTGGTATTTTACCAAGACTGTAAAGTACCTCATGGATACCCATTAGAAATGTAGGGATTTAAGTGCTGAATACAATAATTAATTTTATAAAACTGTCATAAAGCTACATAAATACTACAGCTTTCTTTAGACAAGGTAAAAGACATTGCTTTCATCATGTCATACATGAAATTGTGAACTTCACCAAAATCTGTCTATGTACCTAGCATTTTATAAAGAGGCCTTTACTCTTGTACTGACAATACACCAGAAAGAGACAGGAGTAAGAAGGACAGCTGACAACATAAACATTTAATAGAAGTTATGGCAGCCAGAAAAAGACATTTTAAGTATTAATCTAAACCAAATCTGCAATTTTTGCACTTTAAAAATACACAGTAAAATTCTCTGTAGGAAAATTCGTGAAAAACAAGGACTCAAGGACAAGGTAAGAATGGAAACTAAGAACAGTCCACTGAAAGCTATTTGGATAAAGGAATTAGGGCCATAACTTTGTATCAGAACTGAAGCAGAGAGACACACTCATTTCACAAGAATGAAAGAGAAGGCTACATGGCACATGGACTGTAAGAAGGACGTAAGGAAATGAAAGAAACATGATGCAAAGCATTTTGGCTCAATTCTAAGATCATAAAAAGTTGTATAGCTCATAGCAGGTGATCAAAATATCAGAAAAGATAATGACAGAATTACAGAATAATGGTTTTGAGGGATGTCTGGAAGTCATCTCATTCAATCTCTAAGAAGAAAACAAAAAATAACACAGAATGTAAAATAGAATCCCTGTTGCAAAGAAGTGGAAAAAAAAAAAGACAACACAACACAAGTGGAATAGATGGGCAGGCATGGTGATGCGTTAAGATTTTAGCCTTTATATTTTTCAAATCCTGTGCAGCATTAGTGCATAACTCTAAACTTCATATAAAGTGTTAACTACTGTCTTCAGAGTGTGGTCAGACAAAACAATTCCTCTGGGCCTGGAATCCAAGGACACTCTACAGCCAGAGGTCCTGAAAAGTATAAACAAAAGTAAATTGAGGGGGGAGTGGTGGGGAGAGTGATCTGGGGGAATATGACTTCATTAACTGAAGCTGGAATTGGACAGTTAACCTGTGATATGCAAACAGACCAAACTTTGTGTGAAAAACCCGTGACCATTGTCCATCTTGGGTGTAGCCGTTGTCAGGCTTTTGACTGCCCAAGGTTTATGTATTGAAGGCCTTTAATAAATACCCACTTTATTGTCTTAACTTTGTCTAGCCTCTATTCTAGGTAGCCTCTCCAAGGCATCAATGGGATGAGGAAAAGAATAAACATATTGATAGCAATAATGGTGTCAAAAATGTTTTAATGGGATAAAAGGCAATCCAGAACAGATTTCTGATTAAGATGTAAACAGTAAGTAATTCAAGTGGAAACAGAACAAGATGCTTCCAATGCAGTTACAATAAACTGTCTAAATAGCTCCATAATATTCCGAGAAAACATTATGATGTGAATAGAACAAGGCTGGATTCACTTAACAGAAAGATGCTGCTTTAATTTTGCATTTATCAAAAGGACAAATCATAAACATTACAGACAATTTATCAAAGGTAATGTGCAAAAGACTGAAAGTTAACAGGATTTTTCTGCTCTGGTTTTGAGGAAGAAAGTAGAAGATGAAAAACAATCATAAAATTGAAATAAAATTTCATTTCACTTAAAATTTATCTCCAGCCAAAAACATGTTCATAGGCATTAGGCATCAATCATATGCTGGTAAACCAAACAGTTCTGGTTTGAAATCTTCCATGGACTTCAGCACCAGTGTTGCCTCCTTTGTAAAATCTGGACTTAAATTTTCATCTGGAATCATGACCACTTGCATTCCTGCTGCCCGGGCTCCTTTGACTCCCTGTGGTGAATCTTCAAACACGAGACACTGAAAAACAAGAAGGTGAGGAGAAAAAAATAATTATGATGTTACTATGAACTTCTAATAGCTTGTTTTAAAAGAGAGAATGATCCTGAATGAAACTTAGTAGGAAAACTAAATTTTGTTCTTGTCTTAGACACCCCTAATTAGAACAAGAGCAAACCTCTCAGTTTGAACATCTGCACGGCAATTAACCTTTAATTAATTTCAATTCAAAAAACATCAATACACTTACTTAAATCCCAGAAAGTGGTTATCCAGATGTTCCTAAGTGCTTTAATAGGGATGTGTTTAATCACAAGTGTAAAGTAAAATTAAGCAAGTGCCTAAATAAGCAGGCAATTCAACTTTTTCAAACCAACTTTCAAACCTGCAAAATGGCAAAAGCAGTGTTTTCACTCATAGGTGTGGCATTTCCTACACACACAAGTTATGGGGAGCACTAAACTACCTAGGTCAACAATAGAACTTCGGATGAGTGGAGACAGACACTACTTATCAGAATAGTGCTGTCAAAGTCATACTCTATTTACTTAATTCTTCAAAATCAATGATGAGAAAGAAAACAAGCAATTATATTGGAAGGTTACATTTAGAGAAGAAAGACTTTAGTCAGGTAGAACTTCCATGCCTTACAATAGTCACAATCATTCCAGACTGCAGTTTGGAAGCAAAGCTAAAATTTTAAAAAATAATCATACATTATTTATGTGTATTTTGTAATTTAATGTTGGAATACTGAATAATAAACTAATAAGATAAACATATAAAAATCATATGATCTGAAATTTTATATAATGAAAGATAATGTTTCTGGAGCTAATTCCAGAATTTATATAATGAAGTGTCTCTTCCTGCCTCTTTCTGTCCATGACCTGCAAATTCAGTTTGGATTTTTGGTCATGGATAACCCAAAGCAACTTCTGGCATCCAAGGACCTGAAAAATTCTGACCTATACTGACACATGGTTTCTAACACTTCTCCAATTCATACTGCATTTATTATTAATATTAGCACTGCTACTATTATAATGCCAAAATCACTGCAACAAGTAATTTTAGTAATTGAAACCAGATATTGGGATAGTTAGGGCAATTTTCCTCACATCTAGTAATCAATGCTCTCAGGCATGGTGTTATTCCTGAGCCTGTCCTGTGCAGGGCCAGGAGCTGAACTTTGATAATCCTTGTGAGTCCTTTCAAACTCAGAATATTCTATGATTCTATGAACGTACAACATTATACTGCACCTTTTAGGTTCTGAAACACACAACTATTTCACTGCAGAACATAAAGGATGCACAGTGTTTGTTCTGGCTGTTCTCTAAAGGAACCAAGTTGCAACTTGCAAAAGCTTTATTACATACAAACAAAAACATTTTGCAAGATGTATTAAATGTCCGCCCCATATTTACCCTTCTATGGTATATATGGGACTGTGGATGGCATATATGGACTGTGGAAGGAGAAAAATGAAAGAACCCTCTCCTGATTTCCTTTCTTTTTAAAATATTTATTCTTGCCTTTCAACATATCAGCAACAACTTGGAGTTTGTGAAGTGAAAAGTAAAAGCTGCTTTCTACCTTGCTTGTAATAAAGTAAAACCTAATTAATAATTTTTAGTGAGCCAGAGGAATCACACCAATCTCTTTTGTGCTTATTTCCTTCATACGGTCACTGCCTTCCTGTTTGAACAATGTGATACTTTTAAAAGTTGATCATTATCACTATTACAAACTACAACTACGTAACCAGCTGATCCTGGAAAGCTTCGTACAATTGCTATTAGAATGGAAGAATGGCTCTGCCTATAGGTTTTGTTCTTAACAATAGCTTAGTTCATGACCTTAAGCACTCTGAGGACAATAAATGAAACTCTGACAGGCTTTGCTTTTTGAAGAATAAGCTTAAATGTTGCACAGAAGAGCATTAGCAAGGCCTTTCAGAAACCTTTTCTGATCCAGCTCATACAAAAGAATGTACTTCACTGCTCTGCCTTGAAAGACCTAACTGACTTCCATGATGTCACTAAGCTTACTGTATGAGAGGAGCCAATGATTATGGAAGGCAATATGCATAATGAAAAGCTTAACTATTTCCCTGGAACTAGACACAATTAAAACTCTTAATTACCAAAGAAACCAGGCAAATGACCCATAATTACAGTGTCTAGCATGTTACAGGAAATAAGTGTATTAGGTCTCCCTTATGTCTTTCTTTTTACTGAAACTTACTGTCAACAGCACAGTCACATTTTTAATAGATGACAAAAGGTTTACAGAGGTTCACACACAAAATGGATTTATTACACATAGAGATGTTAGAAACTCTTCACTGTCCTGGACCACCCACACACTAAATTTAGAGATATCAAAGCAGCCAAGTTCTTTCCCATTTTGCATAAATATTGCAACATCAGCATCACTCCAACTGAGAGACAGATGAGATTTATACAGACTTCAGCTGAGATTCTGGCTGCTTCTGTGCATTATTTCTAAAACTTGTGTCACTGATCAATACTACTTCTATGAGATCTCTCAAAAGGTCATACTAATATAGGACAGTTCTCACTTTGGAATGAACTAAATGCTTTAAAAATTACAGCAAAGTATATTAATTTATATTTCACTATATGAATCTAGAAAAAGAAAAATTAATCATGTAACCAGAGGAAGAAATAATATTACTGCAGCACCTCATTACCTCATCCTCCTACATTAAACGCAAAATATAAGAAAAGAGTGTTAGTTAGGCTCTTGGTATATACAGCAGGCCCTCTCTAAACTATATACTGCAAAAGTCTGGGTGGAATAGTTATGTGACTAACAAGGACATCCATAAGTGTTACTGCAGTTAGTGATAACCAAGAAAGCTGGAAGGATAAAAGATTAACATCAGTTTTAAAATTAAGATTTTGGAAGATCTGTGAATATAATATATATGCATAGGGACTGCTTATCTAACAAGTATCCTTGACTACATATGACACCACTACATCAGCTCTAAAACAGACTGAAGGATGAGACTAAAGATGCCATGATTTATATGTACAGAATTCATCTGCAAGTTTAACACTACCATCTATTGTTCTGTAAGAAAAAAATGAAAAGAAAGTTTTCATCACCTGTCCTCCAACGACACAGAAACATTTGGTATCAGAATGTGACATATTATGTTTTGGGCTTCTTAAGGATTGCATCTCACACTGTAACTTCTTCCTTTTTTAATTGATGTTTTTCCCCTTCCTAATCTAATCAACTGGTCAAAAGCATGATGGGAGATTTGTAAAATTTGCACTGTAGAAATATTTGATACCCATATACATTAATTTATATATATATATGCACAATAGAGTCTTCTATAAATGTTTAAGGACTAATTTAAATGTCATTATAAAAGCCTAAAAAAAAAAAAAAAAAGCCTCTAAAATTAAAGCCCCAGCACAGGCTGCAAGAAGAAATTCACCAAGTACAGCAGGTCTCGTGGATATCAGAATGACAGTTGATTTCTGTAAACCAAAAGGTGCTCAGGCATTCCATTTCTACAGATAACTTGCTGACCATTGCCAGAAGTGTTTTTATTCTTTTCTTTGTAAAAAACTAGCCCATACTATATGGTTAAAATTCAAAACTAAGTAGCATCTAAGAAGTAAATTATCAGTCTGAAACGTATTGCTACTGTAATCATGGCTTGTGGTTTGTTCAACAGCTTTTGTAATTTTTCCTTGCTCAATTTTTTTTAGATTTTCAAAATAATTCCAGTACTAACCAAATGTGTTAGTCATGTGAGTGACTCAGAAATTTTTAAGAACCATAATATAATTCAGAATACAACACAGATCCATCCATATCCCATACAAAATATTGAGATGCTTAAAAGGGGCTGTTTGTCATTTGTGGGAGGTGGTGGAAACTTGCAAAATGAGAGAGGAAACAACAGTTTTTACATCATAACACAGATGTTGGGCTATTTTTTAGCTCAATTTATATTTTCTTTTTTCTTATGTTTTCACTGTCCAAATACCTGGGAACAAGGGGAAAATGTATTTCTGGGTGACCCATTTACCATCAAAGTTACTTAAACATTGTTGAATTAATCCATTTTAAGCAGCTGCATTATTTGCAGTTTTGGCCTCCTACTGTGTTAATTCTCTGATGAATTAAGAAAAAACAATAATGAAATAATGTATTTAATGTTTCTCTCGTAATCTTTGGACTTACACTCCCTCCAGAAATAGTTGGGAAAAATTCCAATAGTGAATACAGTAATAAATTACATTTCATTTTATTTTAAGGACGTGCCAATTTGACCAGCCAGGGATAACAGAATCATAATAAATATGCTGCTAAGAAAGTAATGCAGCTTACAGCCCTACAACCTGGTTCCATTAAGGAAAATGAGAAGTAAGCCAAGATGTTTTTAAATGCTATAACAAACGAATAAACAGGAAACTAAAAATCAACTTAATTAAGCACCAGAAGATTCAGAATACTAACTACAACCACCATTCTTTATGAGTCAATGATTCATATTAAGAAGTGTTTGAAAATTACATGCACATATGCTTTTTAATTCAGATTTTTATTAACTCACTACTAGGAGTATGTTACAGACCAATATAAGAATCAAATTATTTACCATAAAATGTACAAAACAAAAAAATCATTAGCATAATTTCAAAAAGGAAAACAGAAATAAAAAAAGTGTTGCATCTGCACATAATTAGATCACTCTGGGTTTCTAGCTCTCACATAAATGCCACTTTACATTTCAGACCACACCATCAGTTCCTTTCTCACACACCAGTTCATGGAACATTATCTCAAGGAAGGCCAGAAGGATTAAAATGGTTTGGATGGAGAAGAAGGAAGAGAAATTTCAGATTTTTTGCTTGTTTTCAAGACTTGATCAAATGAAAGAAAGTGTTTCTGTGAGTGACAGTCAGGCCCAGACACAGTGGCTCTGTGAGGCAGGGAGAAGGTCACATTTACATGAGGGGTTACTC